AGTTTCCTGCCTGAGCAGGGGGTTGGACTAGATGACCTCCAAGGTCCCTTCCAACTTTATGATGATGATGATGATGATGATGAATCAATAAGATGATTTTTATAAATACAATACAAGTTGATTAGAAAAAATGTCATATATGGACATTATTATTATTTCCACAAATACGAAAAAAATGAAAATATTAAGAATTATATTTGTTTAAGGTTGACGAAGGCGAATACTATTGGAAGAAGGGAAGATCAAAGAAATACACTACTAATTAATACACTAATTATGTAATTATAAAAATTAATCATTATTGACTGTTAATTAATTATTACTGATTATTTTTTTAAATATATGAACCAAGACATCACGCTGTTCACTAGGCACTAGGGATTATGATTGTAAAAATCAATAAAATATATTTTTTAAAAATAAAAATAAAAATAGTACCATTCTGAGGCCACATTTGGAATACTGCATCCAGTTCTGGATACCACAATGCAAAAAAAATTACCCAGGCTCTGAAAATAATGCAGAGAAGAGCAACAAAGATGATAAGGGGTCTAGAAGCTAAGTCCTATGAAGAACACCTAAAGGAACTAGGTATTTTTAGCTTAATGAAGAGAAGATTGAGGGGAGACATGATAGTAATCTTCCAATACTTGAAGGGCTGCCATAGGGAAAAGGACATTGATTTACTCTTCATAGCACCTTAGGGTAGAACAAGAAGCAATGGGTGGAAACTCATCAGAAGGAAATCCAGCCTGGAAATAAGGAGGAATCTCCAGGCCGAACTGTTAAGCAATGGAACAGCTGGTCTCCCAAAGTTGTGGATGTTCTATTGCTGGAGGTTCTCAAGAAAAATATTGGACAACTGTTTGTCTGAGATGGTATGAGGACTTCTGTCTTGGTCAGGGGGTTGGACTGGAAGACTCCAAGGTCTTTTCCAACACTGATTCTACAAAATGTTACAGAAATTGCCACTCGGCAGGGTGTCTAAATGCAAAAGCACTCTCTCTCTCTCGGAACGCTGGCTAAGTCTAGTTTTGTGGAATTCTTAAAGGGTATATTTTGCATGCTTTTGAGGAACCAAGGTAGGATTTCTCTCTATAAAAGGCTCTTAGAAAAGACTCAAACTCAGCGATTTCTGACAGTTGATTCTATACATTGTGCTCTCAGAAATAAACTTTACCTCTGGTTCAAACAACTGCCTGCATTCTTTATTATTATAAGATTTCTTTCCAACACTCTATGCATTTACTAATGGCCTCTATGCGTTTTCAGAGAGAAGAGGAATACATCCCATATCCCAGCATCCATGAGGTGAGTCAATGATGGTTTGAGTTCATATATTTTAATTGAGCAGAGCTAATTCTGGCTCAGGTTTTTCAGCTAAAGAAGGATAAAGTATCACTTTGGGTGATTGCACTTCTGAGGTTTTTTGATAGGATTTTCTTTTCTGCAGGTCTAGTTCTTTTTTTAAAAAAATCCATGGCTATTTCAGGAGGATGAACTCCTGGAGCTCTGAAGTAGAAGGAGGATGCTGAGATATACTTGACAAAAGTTGTAATCCAATTCATGTGGAAGAAGTGGATTGAGGAGGGGTGATTTAAAGTGCTTAGATGTGTATAGCTATGGAATTTGATTAATTTCAAATGCAAGTGCAGATTCCCTTCTTTCTTAAAAGGTATTGCAGAGGGGCTGGCCGTACCCTCTAATCATCTTACCACAGTTTGGGGGTTACTGGATTGAAGGGACCTCTCACAGCCTACCCGTATCAGGCCTTGAGTTGCAAGACTTGCCATCTCCTTGCAGTGGCAAAGTGAGGCTGGAGTGTGATCCAACAGCAAAGCTGTACCGCAAATACTTCCTAGGAAAGGTAAAAGTTTATATTATTTAACATACTCCAAGCCTTTATATTTTAGGTATTTTCTTTGTAATAATTTGCAGTATAAATCTGTGGATACAACTTGGTTAAGAAAGCAAAACATTATACAGCAATGTTAAAAATAGTACTTTTCAAGTACCGGTAATTTTATTAGAGATTCAAATTTGAACTTTACTATGTCAATTTAATTTTTAATTTTATTATAGTAGAATATGGTACTCTAGTAGAGTAGAGAAGGAAAGGTATATATATATATTAACAGTATAACATAACCTCAAAATTAATCATCATCATCACCATCATAAAAAAACAAAAAAGGCTTAGGAAATTATGTAATCAACAGAACAGTTCCAAAACTTTGTTTTTATTACTTGAAAGTCTTTCACTATGCTAGAAAAAATGAATTCAAATATTGACAGACAACACATACCCTGTAAATCAGGAATATATTTTTTTTTGTCCCAGAATTTAGCTAATCCCATGCCCCTCAAAGTCAAAATTCTTGATGGTTTGATTGATTTGTGATATGTTCTGATAAGGTATACTGGTAATTAGAATCAAGAAGAACATAAGCATTTTGTATGCTTAATATTTATCCATATTAATATATTTATCCTATTAATGTTAGACCCAAATGTGGCAATAACAGGACAAATGCAAAGCATCTGTGTTAATGTTCCAACTCATGATTGCAAACAGTCCTTATTAGCAGGATAATTGCAATGAATCCTTATTAAACATTTTTGAGCTATACCGTAAGATGAAGCTTTTAAAAATTAATCTCATTTTAAGATAATAAAAAATTATTTGTTATTTAAAACAACTCTTTACTATTTCACTAAGACAAGACATTCAAGCTCATTATTCTGAAGTCACACAAATAACTAATATCAACTTCCTTCAGCTCCCAAAAAGATTTACTGACTTAGGAGTATACTTAGTTCCTCTATAAGGTCCAAACACCATACATATTAAAAAACAACAGTAGCATCTGGACATGTGCTTGAGTTGAATGAATTGCCAATGCATGCACCGTATCAAATATTAATTTATTAATTTTCCAAAAAGTATTTTAAATGTCTTCCTCAGAATTGAACTGATCCAAAGTAGTATTTATAAATAGCCCCAATTTATGCAAAATTAGATTAACCAACTATTTTAAAACTGTACTATCCCATACTGTAACGTGTAACACTTTCATTAGAGCTGAAAAATGTATTGGCAACACAGTGTTTCAATGTATATCTGCTGATTACATTCAGTATTGAAATGAAGTCTAAACGCATATAAAACAATCCATCTGTTTGTCAGAATTGTTGTTATGATCCAACGGGATCCAGCCTGGCTTCCTCTAATTTATAGAATAACCAAATACAATAGGATATTGTATTAATTAGAGTATGAAAACCTGTCTATAAAATACAACATAGTATGTGGTATGTGTGTGTGTGTGTGTGAGAGAGAGAGAGAATACATTAAGAATTCAGAATTTGCGAGAACAATTTATCTGGTGTATAACTTGGCATAAATTAATACATTTATACAATAGCTATTAATTGTCACCTATGATGCACTGGTGGAGTGGATAATATCAATCCAAAGACTAAACTTATGGAGAAGCCCAAAATGAGTTAAAACTAAACTCAAAAACGTCCAAGAAACCTCATCAAAGACTTTTCAGCATCCAAAGAAATTATAGTATAGCTGCTGAGTCCTGTCTATTTTAAACACAGCTAGAATAAATATCAGTAAAGAAAACTTTAATAATGCTGGAATTTTTATGTACATGTACAAATCCAGCCTGAACTGGATTTGTTTTATGTACATGTACAAATCCAGCCTGAACTGGATTTGTAGTCAGAAGAACAAGCTATAATTTGTGGGCCAAAGCAGCTTTTAAAAACTTAACTCCCATATTTATCAAGGAACTATATCTATAATTAGAACACAGAGGGATCATTTCCAATTATGACTATATTTGCCTCATTAAAATCCTGGGATTTTTCTTTTGAAAATGCTACAATATGTCTCTAGTAAAATAAAAGATATAAATAGCTGATATACGTTTTGTATATCCACTGAAAAACCATGAAGTCTGGAGGACTTTCCAATTTCAGGAATTTAGTTATGACAGGACTAGAACTCCCAGTCTCCAAAGTTTGTAGCCTGATGCCTTAACCTCTACAGCAAACTGACTCTCTTGTTACATCATAGCTGGGTTATCCAACATTTGTAGGAGAGTCTGAGCCTGTTCATTTATTTGTTTATTTGGGAATATCGTAAGATAAGACAAGCATTTTGATGTCTCTGTTTTAGGAGCATCAGAATTTCTATGCCAATGATTCAGCTTTGGGCTACTTGGTTCTTTCTGTGAAGTATGAACAGGTCGAAGAGCAAGACCATCTCCATCTGTTGCTGAGGTAAAACTGCCCTTTGATGCCACCACCCTCATGATATCACAGGGCTAGTCAGCCAGCCTTTTCAGTAAGTTCTCTTTCTGTTGGTTGGTTTTTCTAAAGCTTGTTTTAAACTGGCAACTGCCTGTCCTTGTCCCAGTCTGTTTTTTAAACCTTTTCTCAGTGACTTGTTTGGTTAGGTTCATTACTGCTGATATAAGAAATGTCCACAAGTCTCATCTGAATCCCCTTAGTATGACAATTAATTTACGTGTAGCAGAATTTGCCACTGTGTGTCTTTCTCTCCAGCAGAATAGATTGTGGTGGGGAAAAAGTGGGCTATAGCCCATCCCTCATTGCTTGGTTGCTCTTTAATTTATTCTGCTTTTTCTTGTTGCTCAAATAGAGCCCGAGCCTCTACCAAGCATGATCTCATTCCCATATCCTGCCTGACAGAGTTTCCTAATGCTGTCCAAATGGCCAAGGTAAGTGTTCCAAACTTTACCCTTTTACTGTCAAAGTCTGGCTTAGACTTTTGCTATTTAATGTTGCTTAATGTTTTCTCTGTGATGGTTTCAAAGGTTCCATGAAAACTGTGACTCCTTCAGTTCATTATTGCAGCACTTCTTCAAGTTATGACAATTAGCACACTCTTAAAGGTTGGGTGGAGAACCTTTACCTGTTCGGGGATTACATGTGTGTACAGACATTCATACATGGACATATATGCTGCTCTTACATCCCTATCCTTCATACATGTCCACATGCAGGATCATTGATCCAGATCAATAAATCTCTACAATCTATCAGCATTGGAGAAACAGCAATGTGAAGTAACACTGGAAAGGAGAAGCTGCTATAAATCTCTACAGGAGTGGAGGATCTGCTCGATTGGTTAGACCCAGGTCTCTGATGGATCTGGATAGTTTCCTGGATGTACTTGAGGAATTTCCTGCCTCACCAGTCAACAATATTGTTCAAACCCTGGGCAATCTGTGGAGCACAGCCAACAATATGGCTCTTATGGCCCTCTTCTTCCAGCAGCACGTTGGGTTTATCAAGAAGCTGAGTGCATTTAAGGAAATGGATGGAGGGCTGGAGTATGGAACTAGTTTTATGACTGGGAGGTGATTAATTTCTCCATGAGCTGAAGGTCTCAATTATATGAACTTTATTTTTTAAAAAACCCTTACTGAATCTGGATAATCTTTGTAATTATAGAAATAGAAAGTATCTATTCTGGAATAAGATAACTGAAAAGATAGGGGCATCAGAGTTCCAGATGCTTCTTGACATAATTATCTGGATCCATTTCAAGTGATGTTTTTCCTATGGTGCTAAGAATGATTTGGTTGCCTTGGATTATGTCCTATGGCAGAAAGTAGATGGAGATGAATGTGATCCTTCTAGTTTTCCTGGAAATCTCAAGAGCTGCAATTGCCATCCACAATGTGTCTTTGTGGACTGTGTGCTGGAATTGGCCTTGAGAGGCACTGTTTTGCAGTAATTCAGATCTTTTGGATGCACCCTAAATGTAAGGTTGTGTGAATTATTGCTCAACATCTAGATCACTGATTTACAGGAGTCCAGAGGATTCGGTCTCAGAGGGTTCAATCTCTTCCTCATGTTGTTTAACATCTACATGAAACTGTAGGGAGGTCATTTGCAACTTTGGGATGTCATAATGTCACTTCTACACTCCCCATTATCTATTTCAAAGGAAGCAATTAGTGCTTGGAATGTTGGTTAAATTCAGACTGAATGGAGAAGAATAAGCTGAAAAAACGTAAGGTGCTACTGGTAAGAAGAATGTTTGACTTGAGGTTTAAATTGGAACCTGTTTGGAATGGCACTGTTCTCCTCCAGAAAGAACAGATTTCCAGTCTAAGAAAGCTCTGGACTTGAGTTGTCATTCAGTTATTAGGGGATAGCTGTGAAGAGAAGCATGTTTGCACAACTATAAGCAATGGGTTAATTGCCAGTCATTCCTACCATCGTAATGACATTCTACATCCTATCCCAACTATTGCTTTATGTGGAGCTGCTCTTAAAAAGTATCTACAAATTGCAGTTGATGTAAATTGCAGTGGACAAGCTACTGATTACTGCAAGGAACATCAATCATAAGATATCCGGACTGAGAGATCTTCATTGATTGTCAATTGCTTACTGGAGCAATTTAAAATTTTGCTTTTGACCTTGGCATTCCTAAACAGCTTAGGACATGAATATCCGGTTTTCTCATTATGAAGCTTCCAATAACTTGGCTTTCTGGCTCTTTTCCCATTGAATTCCTCCTTTTCTGTTGAATGGGCTCCTTTGCCCATTGAATCCTTTACTTTCATTCACCTAATGCAGCAATCTTTCCCAATTGATAACTCTTTACTTTGGCACCTTTGAAAGATGGATGGAAGAGGGTTATTGACATTAATTATTAAGAGGTTTACTCTTGGGGGACTAAGTATAATCATTTCTTTTCAGCTAACTTGCATGTAAAACCCCCAAGTATATATGCTTAATCCAGTCTTCATAGTGTGACAGTTTAACCAATTACAAGTTTAAAACCCACATTTAATTTCCAAAGTCATTTACTACATTTAAAATTTATAAATGTGAGTTTAATAATTGAACAAGAGAAGGAATAAATTAAAAGACAAATCCCTTGCAAATGCAAATCTTTTGAAAATACAAAGCCTCCTATGACTCGTATTAATCATAATGGCATTTGTCCTTTGGCTAGGAAGTCAGGTTCCTACATTAGGAATGCTAAGTCCTCCTACTTTGCCTTGCAGTTACTCTGTGAAGATGTGAATGTTGACCGCTTCTTTCCTGTGCTGTATCCTAAGGTAACCCCTTTATGTTTCTTAACGTGCCATATAGATATTTTTTTCTCCAAGCACTTGCCTGCTAATTCAAGCTTTTTCTCCATCTCCTAGGCTTCCCAACTCATTGTTGCATTTGATGAACATGTCATCAGCAATAACTTCAAGTTTGGCGTCATCTACCAAAAATTTGGGCAGGTAAAAATACTTTTCTCTCTCACACTTGTCGCTCTGGCTTTCCATCCAATGTATATGTGGGGAAACTGGAGACAAACCTCCATTCCTTCCATTGCATCCTCCCTCTCTTCTGCTGCTTGTATATAGTCACTTCTTTCTTGTTAATCTTATGCCCGCTCTTCTCAGCCACTTCTGCCTTATCTCAGTAACTGAAAACAGGAGCAGTGGGAAATAACAGGCAAGGTTGGTGGGAAAAAATTGCTTCAAAGGTTTGGAGCCATTTCAGGATATATGTTACTCTTTTTGAAGAAAAGGTCAGTTGCCTTTTGTTCCTTAATCTAAGTGGAAGAATACAGTATACCTATTACTAGAGATATGGACTTTGGGTTTTTTCTTTCTTCTGCAAATGAATATGATTCTACCTTAATATCCTGCACGTCTATTTGGGGCTACACTATTTGATGTGAAAAAAATCAAAATCTAGTCTATTTGGTGAAAGTACAACTGTGCATTCAAGGAAATTAAAAGCTTTGATGTGCGGAGAAAAAATGCTTTTAGTGTAATGTTGGAAACAATGTTGGGCAATAGATAATCAAACTCCATATAGTTTTGAAAGTGCTAAATTTGTTTGAAGTGGAAAATATTCTGCAGAAAATTTTGATCTGATAAAGTTTTCTCATTCCACATCTTCGCAGCTTACAGCACAATAACTCTGCCAGCATCTGAACTCTCATGCTTTTGTTTTAAAGTACAGAATAGAATAGAGTACTCAAACAGCAATAAAAAAAATTAAACAAAATTAACATTTTTTAAAAGGTAAAACATAGAGGCTGTTTCATGCAGGAAGCCACTTGATATGCCTCCTACCTTTGCTATAAACCTAATATTTATTTTCCCCATTGCATCTAGTTTGGGTGCATCTCTCTTAAAACCTGCACAGGGAAAGCAGGGTTGGGTACAGTCAGCAATTAGCAAATTTTCGCTTGCCACACAAAAAGGTGAGGCACACTGAAAAGTTCTGATTTTTCCCCATCATAAAGAAAAGTTTTTCAGACTAGAGTAAAGTAGATACTGAGTTTTCTGCTCCATGCTCAAGCCATACATATTCAGTCTGGAGAATCTTTGTTACTGTTTGAAGAGCTGGTCAGATGAAGGGTGGGGGGGAAAGTCCTCCAAGAAGACTTAGAAGGGCCCTGGGCCAAGAATTACATAATAACTATATCATTTCAGACAAGACAACCACTTGTCTGAAATGATATAGGAACTCCTGCTTGAGCAGGGGGCTGGACTAGAAGACCTCCAAGGTCCCTTCCAGCTTTTATTATTATTATTATTATTATTATTATTATTATTGTTGTTGTTGTTGTTAACTAGAATAAGCATCAAAATCACTTTTCTTGAGCATTTAAGGCTGTGCTATGCATTAACATACAGTTTACCGTTGGAATTGCAAAGCCAGAAAGTGCTTTTTCATAGGCTTCATGAGGGTTACGGGCCAACCAAGAATAAAGGCAGCTTGGTAGTGTCTCACAGGCCCTGCATTGGCAGCCTAAACCAGCACAGCATGTTTCATCATTCTGTGGGTCAGGGAAAAATGAGGAAGTATTGAAGAGGAAGAGACAGTAGGAGTTTTATTTCTCTACTTACATTTTTTATTTTTATTTTTGAAAATCAAACACTGGAATGCATATTTCACCCCAAATACATTTCACTCCTGTAACAATTCTTTAAGGAGGTTGACAAGGCTGGGAAAGTGGCTTGTCCGGAATCACTCAATGAGGTGAATAACTTATTATGATTGAACCTGAGCACCTCAGCTGTACACCATTTCGCACTTGCATCCTTTGTACACAAGGATCCTAGGATCATTTAAGAAAGAATGAGCAATGGCTGTCTCCTCCCACTTTCTTTTCTTCTCTTTTTTCCCCCAGACCACAGAGGAAGAAGTCTTCAGTAATACAGAAGAGAGTCTAGGCTTCTTAGAGTTTTTAGATCTCCTGGGTGATAGGATCCAGCTGCAGGATTTTCGTGGGTAAGTGCTTTCCATGTTACGCCTACTACCAAATCATCTTTCCTGTATTGCCCTTGATGGCCTTCTTTTTAAAATATAATTTTTAATAAAGTTTTTAATAAACACAGTAAAAACTAATACAAACTGAACTAGAAATTAAGAGTTAGCAGAAATATTAAACAAATAATTTATCCCTGATCAAACAGTCCAACTTTATATTCTTTCTTTTTGCTCTTCGCAATTTTAGCCCTTAACTCATTACAGTGGGTTTGATTTTTCATCAATCATTGGCATTTAAGACGAGTCTTCAAAGCTTTCACCAGCCTACTTTATAAATCCCATAAAGAGACCTTGTCCAGGATTTCTTGTTGCAGCTGTTCCATGTCCAGATCCTTTTCTTGATTTGTTCTTTTTGTATTCCCATTCTGGTAATCTCAATTGTGTTTTCTTTCATGCCTTCAAACTTTATAATATCCATACCATGTAAAAGTTTTTAATTTTTTTTCTCATCTTTTAAAAATTTATCCATTGAAATTTGTATTTATTCTGAGATTTTAGTTAACATTTTGATCCATTTATCAAAAACTTTAGGATAAGAAAAGGTTATAGCCAACTTAGCCATTTTGACTTTTTTTTTTTTGGCTTGGCCCTTTAGTTCCCTCTAGTGTCCATTTGCAACCTTCATCAAGTCTCAGTTCCCAATATGGGTTTAGTTCCATTTTAGTCATTTTCAACAAGTATATTATTTAACCACCTACTTGTTTTTTAGATCTTATAGCAAAAATAGCCAATATTCCAAGTCTCCTAATCTATTTAACTTTCTTAAATCTTGATTTTTTTTGCTTACTGTATTTTATTTTAAATTCTTTTTTTTAATAATTTTTTATTTTCTAATTTTACATTTAGGTATTTAAAAAACAATGTGGTGGCTGGGTTAATCAATAGTTCAGTAACATACAAAATGTTCAGTAACATACAAAATGTTTTAGTACAGATCTCAAACTACAACTGTTTGTGCCATCAAATCAGTGTTGACTTCTGGCAACCGCCTGAATTAATACCTGCAGTTTTGTTGGCAAGGTTTTTCAGAAGTAGTTTGCCCTTTCCTGCTGTGAGGCTAAGAGCAGGGATGTCAAACTTACCGCGTCACGTGACATGTCGTGATGTATCAAGACTTTTTTCGCATTGCTGGAGCTGGGGTGGGCGTGGCCTCCGCATGATGCAACTGGCCCGCGGGCTGGCAGTTTGACACCCCTGGCTAAAAGAGAGTGACTGGCCCAAAGTCACCCAGCTGGTTTATACCCAAGGCAGGTGAATGGAACTAGAACTCACAGTCAGTACTCACGTGGGTGAAAGAATGGATCAATTTGAGGAACATAAGATTGCTGACACTAGAGGGACATGACCCTCAATTGGGATGGCACGCATTTCTATGGTATGGGAAGAGTGATATACATAGCTACTTTCAAAGACATTATATTAGGAATGCATTACTGCTAGTATGGACAAAAATTAAAGAACAACACTATTTGAAAATACCAGTCTGGTTATCTACAATGGAAGCCTTAATACATCTGAATGTAATCAATATGGAAAAAATTATAAGATATGATGACGTACTAAATGAAAAGGGGGAACTTAAAACTAAACAAGAACTTAATAGACTAGGGGTTGGCCTATCATGGTGGCCACAGTTACAGATACAATCCAGATATGAAAAAGACAGTAAGTTATATGGCTTTTATAAAGAACCAACTGAACTGGATCAGATTCTAATGGGGATAGATGAGAAATTAATTAAAAAGATATACAATTATTTATTAAGTACTAAATTGGAAGAAGAACAAGTAAAAGAGATAATGGTAATATTGGCTAAAAATTTTGGCTGCACAATAGAATTAGATAAATGGCAGAAACTGTGGGATAGAAACTATAAACTTACAATGTCAACAGCATATAAAGAAAATCTTTATAAAATGTTCTACAGATGGCACCTTTCACCTGCGAGACTAGTGAAGATGTACAAAGATAAATCTGTTAAATGCTGGAAATGTAATCAAATACCAGGTTCGTATTATCACATGTGGTGGACATGTCCCAAAGCAAAAAATATTGAATAAAATACATGTATGGTTGGAAGCAATGATAAAACAACATATAGATCTAAAACCAGAGATATTCTTACCATGTTACCAGGAAATTACAATAAAGGCAATACTTATTTAGTTTTACATATTCTAACATCAGCTAGGATAGTATATGCACAATTTTGGAAAAATGAAGAAACTCCTACAGAGGAGAATATAATTAAAAAAAATACTGGAATGTGCAGAAATGGATAGGTTAACATTAAAAATTAAAGAAAAAATGGAATATTATATGACATGGGATTTATTTTACCAATGGTTAGTTGACAAAAACAGAGGTTAGAAAGTTGGAAATATGAGAATATGTGGATTATGTAAATAAGACTTATAATGGATTAGTAAATAATTTGATTGTTATATAACTAATGTTAATGTGGGTAATACTATTTTTAATATTTTGATTGCTATTTCTTAGTATATGATTGTATCTTGATAAGACTATTATGAATGTGATGATTATTATATTTTAATACTTGTATACCTAGATAACACACTGTTCAGTATAGAAATTGAATTTTAATAATAATAATAATAATAATAATAATAATAGTAATAATAATAATAAATAATAATAATATTAACAACAACAACAACAACAACAATAATAATAATAATAATAATAATAATAATAATAATAATAATAATAATAATAATAGAACTCACAGTCTCCTGGTTTCTACCATGGTGCCTTAACCAGTACAACAGACTGACTCACAAGTGAGTTCGTTTATCTTTACCATCTTAAAATAGGTCCTCTGGCTCAAGCTCAGCCCAAATATGCTAATAGGAGGTTAACTGATTCCTTTAAAATACTGAAAATGGAAGCAAATAACAATTTTCACTGATGTGGCAATAGGTTTCCTTAGTGGCCTATTTTTTTTTTCTCCTGAGATATGTATCAGACTAAAAGTTTTGACCAATAGTAGTAGATGCAATTATTACAGGCGTGAATTAGGTCCCCATCTTTGATCATAAAACCAAATAATTTTGTCCTTCTTTTCTTGGCTTTCTTTCCCTTTGCCTTCCCTCTGTTGTTCTCTTCAGATTCCGAGGTGGGCTGGATGTCACAAGAGGTCAAACAGGAACAGAATCCGTCTACACAAATTTTCGGGGCAAAGAGATCATGTTCCATGTCTCTACAATGTTGCCTTTCACTGAGGGAGATGCCCAGCAGGTATGTTGAGTAGAATTGGGAAGAGGGCAGAGTTTGTCTTTGGATATATTGTCAATTTGAGGCTAATAAAAATTCATAGAGAAGGACAGGATGGGCTGCAATGTCTCCTTGGGAATCTTCAAATTATCTAAATTGCTTATTTTTTTCCAGAATGAGAAGGCAGCATGAACTCCCTTCTCAGTATTTGCAGGATAGCTATTGTACCCTAAAACCCCATTAATTGAGTGCACTTCCTCATATGACTGGGGAAATTGAAACAATGCAATCTGTTCTATGTATATTGTTCTTACAGTGGGTTATATGTTGGCCCTCTTATACTAATATTCTGCCAGAATGGATGTGTTAAATTGCTTCCTTTTAGACCCAAACATTCCGGCATGCTAGCCAAATAAACTATAGTAGCAGTGAAAATTAGGCAACAGATATTGTTGTTTTATGCCTCGTTTTATGTTTTATATGTTTTTTTAATTTTGCTAATTGTTTATTATAAATAAGTAAAAAAAAAATCTGTATTTAAATCTAACTTTCAGCTGTGCATGAATTGGAATTTGACAATAATGATAAGCCAGAATTCAGGATTTAGTCTTAGATTCAAACTCTACTACATGGGTTATTTTGAAGTCATTCATAAATTTCCCAATTTAGTTGGGTTATGGTCATTTTTAGTCCTGTGTGAAAAAAAAGAGAAAATAAAATGTATATAAGTGCAAAATATTCTGTCTTACAGAATTGGATAGCCAAAGCCTGGCCCAGGGCTGAACAAACCTTTAGAAAAGACCACAGTCTCCACAGTATACTGGTGGAGCTATGATTTTTGTAATTTCTTGGATTTGGTGGGAAGGAATTTGGCAAGAATTCTTTATATCGATAAGTGTCATTAAGCCAATTTTAGGATTTACACCACAGTTTTAAGTTTAGGTTTAGGTTTCCTGTTCCAAAATAACAGAATGGCACCATTGTTTTTGAGCAACAGAAATTGGAAGGGATGTCAGGATTTGCAGGGGGAAAGGTTCAAGTTGTAGAATAACGAACATTTTATTTTATTTTATTATTTTATATTATTATTTTTATTTATTTTAATTTTATTATTTTATTTTATTATTTTTAAACTAATTTATTAATTTTTCTATGACATCCATCTTCTACAAGGTGACTGTGGGCAGCTTAGAACCTTGCTTGCTACAAACATTCCTCAATGTGGAATAGGATGGAATTGGTTTGAGGATTGCCTACCCCTGGCCTAAACTGTGTAGGATAGGTTACTATTTTGTGCAATTTTCTTTGTTCCCTTTCAGCTCCAACGCAAGCGCCACATCGGGAACGATATTGTAGCCATTGTCTTCCAAGATGAAAATACTCCTTTTGTGCCCGATATGATTGCATCAAATTTTCTACATGCCTATATGGTGGTGCAACTCCATCACAATGCCAGTGGGGAGACTCTGTACAAGGTAAATGCACACACAGTACACAATTTACCATTCCTGGGGAAGCCATATAATGTTCTGTGGCATTACAGTGCCTACTGCATTCTGAGTTCCTGTTTTATCATTCTCTAACTTTTTCACTGTCACTACTGTTGGACTATCCTTCTTTTATTCCTCAGCAACAATCATTAGTCTATGCTCATATTTTGGGGAGAGTAAACAGATGTCAAGGGGAAAACCATGTTCTCCCATTTCTTTCTTCAGAATCTCCAGTCCATTCTTGTTCTCATTTTTCAACAAAAATAAAATATATGTATTTCTTCTTCCATGCATGTGTAGGGTAAAAAATATGCATAACATGGTGAGAGTAATTATTCTTGATGATAGTTCTCGGAAGAAATACTGCAATTGCATTAAAAAGGGCCTATGACTTTAATATCAATACTATACAAATATCTATGCAAAGTAATAGTATACAGCTTCTGTGATTGTGTGGGTCTATGTGCAAAGGGTGGTCCTGAATCTCAATGGTGTGACCACCATCTTGCCTGTCTTGACCCCCTGGTGGATGCTGTGGCCTTACTTGTTATGTACATCAGGCATTCAGAAACCTAAAAAGAATAAGGGAACTCAACTAAAGGATGCTAATAATTAATTTAGCATTTCAGAATGGCACTGCTTAAATTAACTAGAATTTTTAAAATTCAAGCATCAATAGAACATGAACTGTATCAGGATCTAAATCAAATACTAAACCATCAGTAAATTTATATAAAACTTTATAATATAGTAAACATTATATATTTTTAAAGAATAATAATAGAATAGAATAGAATAGAATAGAATAGAGTAGAATAGAGTAGAATAGAATAGAATAGAATAGAATAGAATAGAATAGAATAGAATAGAATATCTTATCTTTATTGGTCAAGTATGATCAGACACACAAGGATTTTTTCTCCAGTGCATAAGCTCACAGTAAAAATATAAACAGCAAGTAATAGGTCATAGGTCATAATCATAGTTACAATCATTAGTCATAAGTTACAAACAACTGATAAATCATAAGAAATCAATAGGAGAAGATAGGAAAGATGAGAAAAGATGAGAAGATGAAAAAAGATGAGAAATGAGATGTTTTGGGAATTAAGTGTTCATCAGAGTGATGGCATAGGCATATCTGGTTGTTTTTGCATGCAATGCTCTATAGCAGCATCCTGAGGGGAGAAGTTGAAATAGATTATGTCTAGGATGTGAGGGGTTTGTAGATATTTTCTCAGCCCTCTTTCTGGTTTGTCCTCAATGGAAGGCAGGCTGCTTGCAATTGTTTTTTTCTGCAGTCCTAACTATCCGTTGAAGTCTGGGTCTGTCCTGTTTGGTTGCTATGCCAAACCTGACAGTTATTGAGGTATAAATGACAGACTCAATAATTCCTCTGTAGTACTGTATCAGCATATCCTTGGGCCATCTGAGTTTTCTGAGTTGACACAGGAAGAACATTCTTTGTGGTGTCTTTGTAATGAAGGTTTCTAATGTTAGGTGTCCTTTTCAAGTCCTTGGAGACAATAGAACCTAGACACTTGAAGGTCTCTACTATTGATACTGTGTGGCCTAATATTGTAAGAGATAGAAAGGAAAATATATGAAATCTAGACAAAATTCCCTCCCCATGGAATTTGGAAATTTATGATTATTGTATTGGGGAATATAATTGAATAAAATATAAAAAGCAATCAAAGTGGTATAATAAATTAAAATTAAAGCTAATTGCAAAGAACTAGGATAAAAAATTCAATAAACAATAGCTTGATCAAATGCTTGATTTTTTAAAACCAGTTTTACAATGCTTCCTTCTTCTCCTGGGTAAACGTGGCATTAAAAATGAAACTTGTAACTGGAGTGTTGTCAATCCCATGCTTTGGAGACAGGTTGACAGAAATGTAACTTGATTACTAATTCTTGTCTTAAGGCTGCAGTGACCTTTCTACTGTCTCTTAAACTGTTAATTATGATTGTTTCAGGTTTCTGTGACTGCCCGGGATGATGTTCCCTTTTTTGGACCCCCTCTTCCAAATCCAGCAGTATTCAAAAAGGTTGGTATGTCTGGTCCCTAGAGTAGCTTTTTCCAACACTGCAAGCTGGATATTTCTGCAGATTATCCAGGACTGGGAAAATCTTATATGATATCAAATACTCTTAGTGATCTAATCCTTCATTCTGTGGTGCGCAGTTCAACTGTCTGAGAAATAATCCTTTTTCCCCTTTTAACACAACAGCCAATTTGGAGACAATGATTGCAGTTCATTTCACATTGTCAAACAGTGAATCAGTTAACAACAAGAGCAACAGCATCAAACAGTTAATCTTACAAACAGATCTTGCTTTTCTGCTTTTTAGACCCACGTGGGCAAATCTGAAACCTATTTTTTCAGATTTGGGGACTGTTTCAATTTATATCCAACAGGGAGGTACAGAGCAAATTCCAGCTGCAAGGATTTAGAGTTTGCTGCAGTAAGGAGTTAGCAAACAGGAGCAGGGAGATTTTTATAGATTTGTCTCTGCTGTTCCTAAGTCACGGGTGCATTCCATTGACAGGTGCAAGAGCATTGACTGAATTCATGTTCTATTAATGCTCATTCATGTCGCAATCCTCAATATATATCCTGAGGCAACAGGAACAATTGAGACTCTTCAGTGAAACCTTGGTTAGGTAAATCTCTTGGGTCTTCTAGGAAGTACTTGACTTATGACTGGTCACTTAGCTACTGTTCAAAGTTATGACGGATCTCCCTGTGGTTCGTAAAACCCAGTCCCAAACACCACTCCCCCACAGTCATATGACTGCATTTCTTGGCAACTGGCCCATATTTATGACTATTTGCAATGTCCCAGTTATATGACCGCATTTTATGATGTTTTGCTTAAAAAGTGGCATTTACTCCTGGTTTTTGGCAAAATAAACCCCATCCCATAGTGAACTGACTGTTTAATGACCAACATTAAACATTAAAGGTCATAATATCCAGGCTAGAAGCTTGGGCATTCCACTTTACAAACATCAGCTCTATTACAGTTGTAAGTTAAAAACTACTTGTATTACACATTCCAGCTGTCTGTGTTCTCTTCTGTGCAAAAGAATTCCACATCTGAAGAAAAGCTCACACTCTTTTTATATAGAAGAGGATTTTTTTCCCTATGAGAATCATGTACAATACATTATCGTGGGGGAGAGCGAATTTATAGCCACACAGTCCAAACAAGGCCATATTAAAGTATATTTCAATGCATTCATCAAGTATATGCTGTGAATGGAATCATATTCTGGGTTCTTGTATTTCCATAAAGTCCATGTTAATTTGGCTTCCTAAAAAGCATTCCCAACCCTCCATTATTTTTTTATATAATATTTTATTAGTTTTCTAATTTTACAATTAAGTATTTAGAAAGCAACATGGTGGCTGGGTTAATAACATACATAAATCTTTAGTACAAATCTCAAGTTTCCTCTCTTTTTCCTTAATATCTACTATGTCAGTGATGGTGAATCTTTTAGAGACTGAGTGCCCCAAAACTGGCTCTGCCCCCCATCCCCCGCCCTGCCTGCCCACAGGACCACTCACCGCCTCCAGGGCTCTACGCAGATCGCCCAGGCAGCCCAGCAGCGCTATGGCGACCACACCCTCTGCCCATGCCCTGCAGCATCAACTGCATGACGGGGTGTGAGGGCAGAGTCTTGTCTACACTGCCTGGCTGCCATGTCCTTGGCTGCGCTGCTCCGTGTGGGCCACCCTCGAGGGCGACTCTCCTTCAGGCGGGTTGCTGGAGAGGAGGGAGTCACAGGGGGAGGCAAGGCTGGGGAAACGGCACGCGTGCCCTTCAGAGAGGGCTCCGAGTGCCACCTCTGGTACCCGTGCCATAGGTTTGCCACCACTGTACTATGTCATATTATGCTAATACAGTTCTTATTATTATCAACTAAGTAAAAACTTCATTATTACATTTATCAATAATTTTTAGCTTATACATATCTTAATTGTGTTTACATTCAGTCCTTATATACAATCAATGTCCCGTTATTGCTTTTTTCCCAAGCTTTAATTTCCCATCAATATTCAAATTAACATTTAATATTTATAATTTCCAAGCTTTAGGTAACCAAAGTTTCCCTTATCTCAATTCATAACAAAATCTAATATTCTAAATACACATCTTATCTATTTGAGTATAGTCTTGTTCTGTTCTGTTCTATTTTCCACCATATTAAATCATCTAATTAATAATACAGTATCCCCTTCAATAAATCAAAACCATTATATATATTATCTGGATTAACCAATAAATCAATAATATTCATAAATTTTTTCATTTGGGTCTAATTTTTAAAAGTTCAAATACTCCCTCTCTTTTTCTGGTAATATCTTTTATCTCATATTAAACAAACAGAATTATTATTTTCAACTGATTTCCAAATATTTTAAATTAGGTGACCAAAATTCCCCTTATCTCAACTTCTCCCTTTTTCCCTTTTCATACCAAGGTCTATTAGTCTTGTTACACATCTTACCTATTCAATTATAATAATACTTTATTTTCTAAAAATTTTCTATTTTCCACCACATTGAATCCTCTAATTAGTAATATAAAATCCCCTCTAATAAATCAAAACCCTAATTTTCTTCAGCCTTATTCTGGCTTTCTTCCTTTGCCAACTAGCCTTCCATGTCAGTGCTCTTAAATCATCAAGTAGATCTCCCTCTATTATTATATATATTATTTGAAATAAGAAAGACCATTTAGTTGCAGTTTTTTTGGAAGAACTAGCCCATTTATATTCAGTAGATCGCCTCCCTATTACTCCAATTCCCACAATTGTCCTGATAAGTTTATCTTCCATTCAATCTGTTCTTCTTCCTTCTCCTCAAATTTCTTCTGATTTATATCGAAAGTCTTTTCCATTTTCAGTGTTGTTACTCCCTTTTCTGAATTTTCCATTGGCTGGATTTGTTGGTCGATTGAGTCCTCTGTCTTAGTTTTTGGTTGTTCCACTTCTCCTGTTATTTTCTGCATTGTTAGTTCTTTCATTGTAGTCATGATCTGGGTTTGTATATATAAGCTGGCATTTTGTTCCTTTATGTTGCATCTTATTTTGTCACAAGCTGAAAGAATGGTTTCGTGTATTGCTTTCAAAATGTAAAGGATTTTTTCTTGATCTTCATCCATATTCTCTTAATAGTGTGTTAAGTTGAAGACTTTAAAATCAGACATTAAAAATATTTTTATAACCAGGTTTGGGACATCTATTTCACATGTTATAGGTGGTCTTTATAGTGGAAGTTATTTATCAAGTAAGAATTTATAATCCAAGGTATTCCATCATCTTGTGTAATAACAGATGTTTCTCATGTAAAGAAATAGGAAAGCAATTCCCCATGTATAGCTCTGAAAGTCAGTAAAGGTTTACATTCATAGTTCAAGCAGGCCAAATATGCCGCCCAGAAGTTCTCTTTACAGCTGAGTTTCTCACAGGTGGTATCTGTCAAGGTCAGAAGAGTTTTATCTAGAGTCTGGGCTTCAAGCCAAGTCTCTTTTAGGCAATAACAAGTTGTAATACCATACTTCACCACAAGATGTCACCGATGCCGTTTAAAGCTTTTTAAGTCCAAAGATTTTATAATCGTTTTTCAAGTTTTATTTCTTTTTTTAGATAAAAACAAAGATCTCCAGTAAGAATAGGAAAACTTTTAGTCTTCAAATTGCAGAAGCATATAGATCCAATTAGATTAAAATTGTTCTTATAGTGCTTTGATTCCCCTGGGTAGTCAGTCGCCGCTGTTCTTAGAGGGTGGGGTAGAAATTCCCTTCCCTCTCTCCTCACAGGGGGAAAATATACTTTGGGCAGCTTTTACAGGAAAAAATACTTAAAGTCTTAAAGAGAAGATCAGATCTCACCCAGTTTCATCCGCGTTGCTTTAAAGGTGCTTGATGGTAATTTTGACTTTGTCTGTCAGCAGCTTAGTGACAAGCCATATTGCTATGCCCCAGATCAAGCGGAAGGGCTACCACCCTCCCGCGATCAAGCGGGGTCCCTTCCTTGCTCATCACCTCTACAGGGTGACTTTCGACCCTTTCCAGGGTCTCCCAGCAGGACGAAATCGGGTGCGAAAGATGGAGCTTGCCTTCCAGCGTCTGAAGGAGCTGCGATGGCAAACCAGAAGCCCCAACCCTCCATTTTTAAACCAGAATGGTTATGGTTCTCATTGGTTAAAGTGAGAAGAGACCCTACAGAATGTCCAACATGATGGTGGACCCTTCCTTTTTTCCTCCTTACAGGGTGCAGATTTCCGTGAATTTCTTCTGGCAAAGCTTATCAATGCGGAGTATAGCTGTTACCATGCCGAAAAATTTGCCAAGTTGGAAGTAAGTCTGGTTACTTAATATGTTTGTATTAATAATTTCTCAAGCAAATATCTGTATGAAACAAAATATATGAAATGAAAATGCACAATTAGCAATGTATATAAATTGCTGAAATATCAGCTTAGAAAAATTCTTCCCAATGTTATTTACATTTAAGATTCCTAATGGTTGGGAATGAATGAAAAGAACTTGATGCCCTTTTAAAATGAACATTTCCCTCAAGAAAAGGATAATTTCTCAAGTAAGGACATAATCACATGGTATACATTTTTTGCCATCATTTCTGGCTTTAATGTCTTACAGTAATGATCATCAATTACCCTGGAACATTTGGATGAAGCTGGATCAGAAACTGGCTATATTTGGAAGTGGGATGGTTAAAGGCTTTCCTGAAATATTTGTACAATTTGGTCCATGCAAATCTGCTTGAATATATCAGCAGTTGATTTGTATGAACTCTGTCCAGTAAGATAATATTTAATTTGCTACTATTTGCTAGTTTACCTGTACAGGCATATAGCTTTCAGAAATAAATAGAGAAGTTACTGATTACAGTCATTTCCATTGATTTGTTTCTCCTAAGCGCCCCAGTTTAAACTACCAAATTCACAAAATTGAGAAATCACAAAACTTCAGCAAATCTAAAATGAAAAATAGATGTTCTTATTTTCATTTTTAAGAAATTCACCCAAAATCTGATGCCTTCTGATTTGCCCATTTTTGGCCCTATTAGTTATGGGCCTAAAATCCAGCTGGTTAATAATATGGTAACCTTCTTTAAGGAATGTTCAGAATAACTTTAAAAAGGGGGGAAGTGGATGGCTGTATTTATATGATGTTTTTGGCAGATGCAATCTGACTCTTATTTGGAACCTTGGTGAAACCATCCAGAAAAAAAAGCTTTTGAATAACATATTATTTCTGCTGACTCTATGGTATACAAAAGTGTCGTGTAAAAGGAGAGTAAAAACAACAACAAAAATCGAAGGAAAGCCTGAACTTACTGGCAACAAGAATAAATTATTTTTACCTTAAAGCTAGTAATTATTTTCATCATTCATTTTCTGGCAAATTTCAACATTCTATAGCATCACCACAGAAACATTCCTTTCTCAAAGGATCTCTTGCTGAATCTCTGAGAAGGGATCTAGATTAAGGCTTTTGATATTAATGATAGTTTTCAGGCAGGCATTTATGAAATAGTTCCTCAGGCAGGGTGGGCAGTCTTTTTGAACTGGAATTTGGAATTTTGAAAGCATACCTGGATGTTCTCTCAAAATGACTGCCCAGATTTCCTTTTAAGTATAACCTATGTCTATCTGCCAACTTCCTATTTATTCTTCCTTTTTAGTAGTAGGATTAGGCAGGCAGAATATCCTCATAAGCTTATTTGCCCCTTCTAGTGTTGGCCCTTTTTAAATGAAAAGCACAGTTAGTATACGTTTAAGTAAATAAATAGGAGACTTTCGAACTGAACACAACATCATACAGGACAACACAGGAGGATGTAAGCTCAGGACAGTGACTCAACAGATTATGTAACCCATCCAGACATGAAATGGCCTTCTGTTCCTTTTTTCAACATGCACTCCCACAGTTTGACTTGAAATCTTTGACAACATGCTTCTTTTTGTTTCTCTCTTTCTGGAGCAGGAGCGTACCCGCAGTGCACTTTTGGAGAGCCTTTATGAAGAACTTCAGATTCGTAGCCGCAGCATGATGGGCCTGGCCTCGGGGGACGAGGACAAAATAGAGAATGGGGGTGGTGGCTTCTTTGAGAATTTCAAGGTGAGAGATGGCGTAAATACTGAATTTCTTAATACCCTTCCATATTTACTAACTTGATGCTGCTCTGGGTAGTACAGTTATAATATTTCACATGTTTCTAAGAGTTTATGCCCTGACCATATTTATTCATTTATTTCAATTTATATGGTCACCCGTCTCAACTTCATGACTCTAGGCAGCTAGTAATAATTAAAATGGCATATAAACATAAAACAATAAAGAAACAACAGCAAACACATAATCTGTTACATACACACACCCAAGGTAAAAAAAAGCTACAACACAAATCCTCACAGGTATTGCTTGGACTGAGACCTACATTCAGTTCCCCAAGCCCAGTGACAAAACTATGTCTTTAAAGCCATGCAAAAGGCCCATAGAGTCAGGGGCAATTTAATCTTGGGGAAAGGATGTTCCAAGCAAAAGTTGTCAGAATAGAGAAGGTTCCCTTGCCCCATCAGATGGTACTCCCTAATAAACAGAAAGTCTTTATCGGCACCTTGAACTGCACTCAGAAGTACTGGCAACCAACACGACTGACATGAACAGAGCCTCTCACTCCAAGAATGGACACAGTTGGTGCACAATATAAAGTTGTGCAAAGGCACACTTGGTCACTTACCTCAAACTTTAAAATACTGCAATAGATAGGCCTGTAACCATATGCTCATATTATGTTTGGGGGGGGGGAGAGGATTCCAAAGCTGAAAAGGAAACCACAGAATTTCTCACCTCAGAGCTGTTAGGTGCCAGGCTAGCTATCAGTCTATTCATTTTTCTTGGAATATAAGGCCATGGAAAATCCCCACTTCATGCTTTGAGCACATATTGTAATATCTGTAATATAACTCCCACCTGGCATATTGTAATATCTGTAATATAACTCCCACCTGGCATCCCACCTGGCATTCTATGTATCTGAATCTGTACATTAGCTGGAATTGAAAGTGTATTTGATCCTTATGTGGAAGGGAAAGTCTATTTGATCATTTATACTTAAAATATAACACATTTTACATTCTAGGGGAAATTTGTTAAACTTTATTTAACTTGGAACTGCCCATCTCCCTCACAGATGGAGTCTGGACAATGTACAATAAATTATTTAAACATAGAAACAATATATAAATTCTCAAAAAAGTTTTCTCTTTGTTCAGTTTATGTAGTCTTGCCTCCCCCACTATCAATACAGTGGAGGAGAATGGGAATGAGAAACTGGAGAATATGTTGGAAATATGGAGGCCTAATCATAATGATGCTGTTCCTAAAAATGCTGAAATATGTGTTGTGATATCACAGCATAAGAACTGCCCTCTCATGCTAGCATCCCGGTATTGTATGAAAATATATAAGGGGGAGAGCTGGTGTCATGGTCCATGTTTCCTCACCTCTGCTTGCCCTCCCACACCCATGCCTGTGTTTGAAATAAGCAAAATGTCAGGTGGCTTAATTGTGTTTCACAGGGTATTCCTTTCCACAGCTATGTAGCAATAGCCAGGATCAATTATATATTGTATATTTGAGTGAAATGACTAGACTAGACTAGAAAAGGGAATCCAACTCTAGTCTAGAGTTTTGTAGTGGGTACAAAAAGGCATACTCGTTAGTATTTCATGTGTGAATCAGATCAAGGGTTTGAAGGATCTCAGCATACAAATCACAAAAAAAATATTATATTGGATTTTTTTTTTGCTCTTTGGTATATGCCATCACAAAGAAAATTGTTTTGCATTTTAGACTGAGAACATACTGTTCTTTTTTTTACTTGGCATAGAATCTGCTTCTGTACTGGTGCTACAGGCCTGGAAAGTTTTGTTTATTTACTTAGCTAGTTAGCTTTCTTTAGTCACCAGAGGAAGAGAACAAAGCTTTCTTTCCAGTGCTACCATATATGCTACATAATTCTTTATTCAAAGAGATAATGTAATATTTATGGTTGTGGAAATATATTGCCAAAAAAGTGCAATTGTGGCTATTTTCCATTTTTCTGTATCTGCACAGAATAGTAAGACCTGTGTGTACCTTCCCTCAACAGAGCTGCTTTGACACATCTGTAGAGAGTTTTGAAAAGACTTTAGCATAATAGTTTTGTGTTCGCATCCTGCAATTCTTATGCAGGAATGTATTACAGTAGTATATCTGGTGTAAAGTGATAAAAATCTGGCCACAACGAGACATTTCCCTAAGAAAGTAGGATACCTTTCTATGGCAAATCTTTCTATAGAATCCCCCCTGCTTCCAGTCATGAGGTAGGGGAAAAAAAACTAAAGGAGTTACTCTACAATTATTCCAATTCAGACTGCAGACTGGGTTGGTGGCAGGTTAAAAAGGAAATTCCACCAACTTTAATGGGCAATACTACAGGCTATGTGTTTAGGACTGTAGCTTTACATTTTTAATGGTCATACTCTTTGTGCATATTCAGGTATTAGAGACCCCTACTTGATCATCCTCAGAAAACTCCCAAGTCTTTGCTTTCTTTGTTAGAAAGCCTTAATATGAAATCCATGTAAAATAGATATATACAGGTGATGTATAGGTAGTCCTTGACTTACAACAGTTCCTTTAGTGACTGTTCAAAGTTGCAGCAGCACTTAAAAAAGTGACTTATGACCATTTTTCACACTTACTACTACTGCAGTATCCCCATGCTCACATGACCAAAATTCAGATGCTTGGCAGCTGACTCATATTTATGACAATTGCAGTGTCCCAGGGTCATGTGATTACCTTTTGTGACCTTCTGACAAACAAAGTCAGTGGGGAACCAAGATTCACTTAACTACCGCATTACTAGCTGAACAACTGCAGTGATTCACTTAATAACTGTGGCAAGAAAGGTTGTAAAATGGGGCAAAATTGTATAGATGTGATCTCAGAATAGTACATAGTTTGGACATTCCCCAGGATGTGCTAGTTTGTATTGGGAAGCTTGCAATTTCTAGTTGACTTCCTGAAAACATTTTAAGGAAAGGTTGAATTATAGTCATATAACGTGGGATTTCTGATTCTTTAACTTGTTTTGTGCCTGAGCAGTACACAGATATAAAACATGTCACCTGGACTTGGGTTAGAACAGGGGTAGTCAACCTTGGCTCTTTTATGACTCGTGGACTTCAATTCCCAGAATTCCTGAGCCAGCTTTGCTGGCTCAGGAATTCTGGGAGTTGAAGTCCACGAGTCATAAAAGAGCCAAGGTTGACTACCCCTGGGTTAGAGGAAGGAATGTGGGAGGGCAGGAAAGGCTCAAAGTCAAAATAGGTCATGGTTTCAACAGAGGAAAATATTTGTAGCTCAGGGTTGAAATGAGGGGTCCTGAGCTGGGTTGTTTTCTTGCAGATGTTCCATTAGTCAAACTAGATAATATCTTCAATACTAACACTGTCAATATTGCAAAAATTGAATGAAATGAAAGATGTTTCAATATAGGCTGAAAGCAGTGTTGCCTGGTATGATATAATTTTTGTGGAAGAGCAGTGGAATAGCTGAAAGAAATACATTTCCTACAGAAGTAAAAAGTGAAAGATAAGAGATGTGGTTATGTGTAAAACTGTTCCCAACACAATGGAAGCCAGTACCCCTTTTATTCTTTTATGCCATTAAGAGAAAATCATGAGTATCTTGATTTATAATGCAATATACCATCATTTTACTTTATTAAATTAATAATTATTTTTTCAGTAACTGGAGTGGAAGTAGTATCATAGAAAAGATAATTTAATTTTTATTGATGACATTTTCAGATAAGAACCTTCAGGATAAATATTACCTTCAGGATAAATATTAAATTTGACATGAAAGTTGTTAAATGTCAGGGTGAGTATTCAGAGCATCAGAAGGAGTAATTGATGCTTACATTCAGGAATTCAGGATATGTGGCTCCTCTGCTTTTCATTATACAGTGCTGCTTGTTCCAAAGTCCGAGCTGACCAGCCTGGATAGAACTATCCATTAAAAGCTAGAAAATGAATTCATATTTCTTTTGAGGTTACATCTTACTTTCAGTACTATAATGTAGATTTGGTATCCCAGCTTATATCTTCAAGGTTCATATAATAGAAGAAAGAGTTAAGCTAGAGAATCATGATTGTATCTGGTCAGTATCACTTAGAGGAAAGCAAGAAAGTTCTTAATGAAGACTGTAGCCTTGGAGAGTTTGGGCAGATTCTGTCCACTTGGATATTGGAAAAAAAACTTTCTTTGCCTGAGATCCAGTACTGAGAGGAAGTCCAGGGTTAGTTTTTTTTGCCTCCCAGTTCTTATCCACCAGCATTTCTGCTACTCTCTGTGCTTTCCTTGTGTGTGTATGTCAATGTCTCTGTGTCTGTTTCCCTGTTGCCCTTCTCTCCAGCGGGTGATCCGAGGCCGTAGCCAGAGCCTGGACACTATGGGGATAGCCATGAGGAAACAGCAGCAGCAGCAGCAGCCCCCAGCAACTCTACCCAGCCGCCCAGCTACTGCAGGCCTTGCCCTCAACCCAAGTATCGCCGAGGGCCCCAAGGCTATTGCTGCGGTAAGGTTTTGTGGGATAGGGGCTGGGCAGGCTAATTAGCATGCTTTCAGCCCTCTTCTTCCCCATTTTTCTCTAAACCTGCTGCTTGTCAGCGCTCATTGCTGGTAGCTGTAATTCCGTAAAAATACCTAAGATGTCTATATGGATTTGTTTTCATGTCTCTGTGTTCATTTGTCAGTCATAGTCCTCTGTCTTTGGAACCCGACTCACTCCATTAATGTGAAAAGTGGTATAGTGGAAGAACTTGACAATAGGGAGATAATCTAAGGTAAAAGTCAACAAAGGTTGAACTGTCACAAATACACCAGATATTTTAAAGGCTAAAAAAATAACAAGCTTTTATTCTAACACCAAAAGACATCAGATTGTTTCCTACCAGCCTCAGATGCCAGTAGCTTTAGAGGAGGGCTTTGGGAAAAGATCTTGGTGCAAGAAAGATGATCGTTGAGAGAAATTCAACCAAGGCCCAAAATGGGCAACGATGTATAAGAAAAGCACTGGAACTTTGAAACTGTAAATGGCTTCGTACATGATAGTAGGTTGTCATATATATTTTCTGGAAGACTGATGGTTGTCAGAATATCGAACATTCTGGAAAAAAAATTAAAAGTGTCCCTTGAGGCTTCAGTAACAAAGCTTAATTAGTAAGCAACAATATGTTTAAATGAAGGAGCTTGAAAATCCCACATGACCAAGCTAAGTGATTTCTTGTAGATAATTTCTTGTGTGAAACCAGATAGAACTCTTGGGGATTATTTCATGTTAATGTCCTTAGTCTAAACTGTGACTTCATGGCACTTCCGTGTAAAACCAATTCTATCAAAACATTATGTTTTCAATTCTCCATCCAATTCAACTAAAGACTTTTCCCCGATGCTGAACTGAAGTGTTTTCCACCCATTAACAGTAATCCATGCAAGCATGAAATTTACTATCCTTGTCACCCATCCCAATTTTTGTTGCGTAGTCCCTCTTTCCTCTCATTGCCAGCCAATTTCATTGTGTTTTTGACTGGCCATGTTGCGGAGGCATTCCAGGAATTAAGGAGATTGCAGGGCATGTTTATGTCAGGTTAGGTGCAAGTTGGGAAGGACCCAAGTAAAAGAATGCCATGATATTTAAATTCTTAAAAAATGAAATAGAATAGTATTTCCCCTGCTCTCTGTTTTGGCAGTTTTCTGAACCTTTAATTTTACATGCTCTTATTAAGGATAATTTAATAGGGGATATAGCAAATAAAGCCTGTTTCATGATTATTTGACAGCCTCAAATGAAGGAAATAGGAGCAACTAGGATAAGGTTGTTTGAGGTAGTTTTCATCAGGCATTAAACTTGCTGATGTGCACTGAACTAGTTCAGGTTGAATTCTAAGCATGCAAGTGAACATTTCTGGTTTAACAGGCATGGAAAGCATGTGGAGAAAGCCTCCTATAGACAAGCTGGGCAATTAGGATGGAGTTGTCACTATTGTTTGAAAATACGTGGATTATTAGTTAGTCTGACTTGGCCACAGATATGCTTGGGAGATTTTGGCTGGGATCTACTGTCTTCAAATCATATGTTCTTCCATTCAACCATGGCTCAGTCCACTGTTAATGAAGAACAAGCCTTTCTCCCAACACCGAACTTGCAGATCTGGATCAGGGTACGCATGTGAAGCTGCGGTTTACAATTAATTCTGGGTATTGGAATCACTCGTCTCAGGGGATTACAGTTTTAATTTGTAGCCTGAAGATGACATTGAGATCCATAGTTACAAATCCATGTCAAGATGCTAATTACTTCCTTTCTCTGACCACAGCTGTAGATTTCTAGGTCCCAAACTACTTGTTGGAAGGAAAGCCAGGAGAAGAAAGCTCCATTTGGAGAAATTATGTGCACAGAAAATAAATGCTAGAATGACATGTAGATACTGACATTCTGTTCAAGATGTGTGTTGCTTGTTATCAGTGATATAACAAAAAGATTATTTTGAAGGAGGAGGGAAGTTCTGGATATTCAGGAAGGGAATGACACTAGACCATCATTTTTAATGGTAGTTGAGACTTACTTTAAACTCAAACTGTGGTTCTGTATACTTTCCCCTCTATTTTCCTTTCTCCTTCAATCTATATTGTCTCTCCTGCCTTGGTGCCAGTATCACTCTATATATCTAAAGTATTTCTCACTGTTGTCTCTGCAGTTACTAGTTTATTGCTTTTAGTGTATTGCTTTTTCTTTTCTTACTCTACATTTTTCTCTATTGAATTAGCTTATCTAGCTTTCTAAGTTTGACAGCGCCACGTCATATATACTGTCTGGCATGCTGCACAGATTGATTTGTTAGCATTAAATGTATAGGCAGGATCTGGAAATCTAGTTCTCCATCTTTTGCTCCTGTTCCAACTCGTGCTTTTCTATTTCTTTCCTCCTCCTTCCTCTTTTTTTCCTTTCTATCATTTCCTCTCCACTAGTCCTTTGCCCTGCCTGGGAGAAGCCCATCACGCAATCGAGGCAGCCGCTTCAGTGGGAGACGTAGTAGTGCCATTGGCATTGAGAACATCCAAGAGGAAAAGAGGTATGGACCACGGGAAGAATGGCAAGACTAGACATAGAGCAGGGGGAGAAAACAGTGTTTGGTGCAAGAGTTAATCCAACTTTGTACCCTCAAGGTCTAGTGCAGGGGTAGGCAACCTTGGCTCTTTTATGACTCATGGGCTGGCTCAGGAATTCTGGGAGTTGAAGTCCATGAGTCATAAAAGAGCCAAGGTTGCCTACCCCTGTGGAACTGCATCTGCCAGAATTCCTAGCTATCATGGCATTTAACCAATATGTAAGAGAGGTGCAGTCTATATATATCTGGAGGGCACTAATTTTGAAATATGGGGTTAGTATGTCTATATGTAACTTTTTGGCACGAGAGGTCTTTAGTGCACTTAAAAGGTAATTTTCTTTGTCACGGAGTAGCAATTTCAGCTGTAACTTTTAATCTACTGTTGTGACTCATGGGCTCTGATTTATTCCAAGAGCACTTCTGTCCAAAGCTACTAGCTAATCAAAACCAATTGGAGTGTTCCTCTTTGTTTATCATGCAGCCTGTTGACTCCATTTTCTCCATCTGTGTATCAGTTGTTTTGTTTCTGATGTGTCATCCTGGAATCTATCAGGATAACTTTCCTAACAGTTCTGTGATTTCTGTGATAAGCACCTTAATGTTTTCATGGGACAATTTCATAGCAGTTAATTTCTTGAACAATTGAAAACTCAAGTTCTGAACTGGGCATAGAACATAATTTTTGGTTGCAGAATCTAGCTTAAGTAGATTAAGAGAACACTAGGTTGAGAAGAGAATCTCCATAGAGAGATGAGAAGGATTCAAGGGAAAAGAAGCAGAGAGGAAGGAACAAATATCATGGTTGACATGAGGTTTTAAAAAAAAGAAAGACTCAGGAATTCTGGGAGTTGAAGTCCATGAGTCATAAAAGAGCCGAGGTTGCCTACCCCTGGTCTAGATAGACAGATATAGGTACAAACCAGTAATTTTTGAAGAGCTGAACAATGACATATTCTTAGTGTATTCTTTCCGTTGTATGGCATATTAACAATTAATCTTGTATCTGTAAATAATGATGACCCTGATCCATACAGGATGCTTACTCTTTTCTAACTAATTTACCTGCTTCTCCTTGTCTGATTACCAGATGAACATGGTCTGTAATAGTAATTATTTTGGAACAGTACTGTTAATTACTCTGAGAAGCTCCTCACCAACCTTTCAGCTTGTTACAGTATACAAATAATTTACAGAAGCAGTGCCACTATTACCATACCCTTCAGCCCCTCAGAATAAAAAAAAATAAGACCTAAAATCCCTTTCTTTCTATCCTGAAAATGGAATAAAAGCACAAGAAAGAAAAACTTAATAAAAGGAGTGATATTCAGTCATAAAAGCAACACAGACGTTTTTGCAAAAGCATGCTAAAGTATTGCAAATGTAATTATATTGAAAATGTCATGCTATTGCAATTTGGTGTTAAAGTTTACATACAAGTTCTACTTTAGTGATATTATTGGTCAAGTTTTTAAACTGAGGAAGGATGATTAAATGTTTCCTCTTCCTCCAAGGAAGAGACAGAGGACAGCAGGCTGTGGCTGAGCAGAGACTTTGTGGTTCACTTCCACACTTTCCTTGCCTCCGCCTCGTCAATAGCCATGGTGCCATTGGTAGGCGCACAATGGTTTTGGGGGAATGAAGTTAATCCAGTTTCCTGCTAGGCTAATCTAGGATCAAGTCCAAAAACTGCTCAAAATGGATAAGGAGGAGGACCCAAAGTAGAACTAGTTCCTGCAGTGCTAGCAGATGTGGCAAGAATGATATACTTTTTTGCAAAGTGAAAGAAACGTCAGCTAATGTTAGGTTTGATGGGAGATCCAAACAACATTTCTGGAGAATGTCTTCTTGCTTTAGTGCAAAATTCAGGGAACTTGTTTTCTTCTTACAAAGAAAGTTAGGAACTCTGACTGAAGGAAAGGGGCTAGTTTCCCTTGCCATATTTGGTTTAAATTAAATTTAGCATGTGTTGCAGCTGCTTTACTTTTAATCAATATGAAAAGGCAACATTGCAGCCTGTCTCCTGAGATGGGAATACTGTCTCCACAGTCTTTCTTATCAAAGAGATAATTAGCTTACCCACAAAACAACTGCTGAAGAGTTCCAACAACATAGGAATAAAGACCAAAGCAGAGTCCTGCTCGATCAGACCTTTAGTAATCTGTTTCTCATTGCTAACCACCTGCAGAAGGAAGCCCACCTCTCGAGCAACTGACTTTCAGAGGCTGTAACACTGCCCTCAAGGCTAATAGCCATTGGTCCCCCATGACTTCCATGAATGGGTCCAACTATTTTGTTTTTTTACCAGGCAAGCTGGTAGCCAGCATCACATCTCACGCTAGCAAACTTCAAACTTGAATTATGCATTGTGTAAATCAATTGATCAATTGCAGTCCAAACAAATGCAATATGGGCAAGGCCCTATGAATATTTTTCTTTAAACTAAAACTGGGCTGGGACATAACTGCCATGAATCCTTGGTCATCTGAGACATAAAAAACAGTGAAGCTGTCAGCCATAACAACATTTTTCAGCCCAACTCTAGGGACATATGTTTTACAATGAACTGGGAAAGTGATTGTAATGAAGACGTTTTCAAACACTTTGAAAAAGAATAAAACAAGAGCTTTTGTGCTCTGGTGGACACAATCAGAATTTTATCATACTAGAAGTGCTTTTGCAAAATGGTAGCTGGGAGGCTTATTCATTCACTCGATAGTTGCTATGGAAATTTAACCCCTTTCAAAGGACTAATTTATCAGAGTATTACTTCCCACTTGCCTTAACCACCACTACCACCGTGAAGCCAGGTGCTCCCTATAAGCTCTGCTTATCTTTGTCCTTTTCCCATGTGAATGCAGTGGTGGGATTCAGCCAGTTTGCACCACTTTGGCAGAACCGGTAGCTATTTTTTTTGTTGCCCAGGCTCAGAATGGACTTCCGGAAGCAGCATCCACACAGAGAACCGGTTGTTCACATATTTGAATCCCACCACTGGGCAAATGGATCCATTTCTGAACAAACACTGAATTGCAAAAGCCTTTCATTTACTTGAGAAACCATACTGGGGCCAGAGACACTTTTGGAAGTAAAAAAAAAGGTGCAAGAGATTAATACTTTGTTTTACAGCTAGCCAATATTCCACTGCAGCCATAAGAGATTAATGAATCTGACAAATTCCAAGAGGGATGTTATAGAGTAGCTAGTGTTTTGTGTTTCACATTGTGGAGGTCCCAAGATTATGAAAAGTAGTTGGATTTCTGGGAAAGGGGCAACCTTTATTCTGAAGATTAGAACTTCTGGACATCCATAAAATTAGTCATGAATCTCATAGACCTCATAAAAGGGCTCTTTTCTCTGTAATAAACAGTTATTCTTTTCTCTCTAGCAAAGATGTGGCTGAAAGGATACAGAAGGTATTGGAGAGTCCTGGACCCTTCTTTGATCTCAAGTCAGATGGTTCCTCGAGTCCTAGTTCACCAGAATTCCCTAACAGGAAGAGCAAGTGAGTTGAATTTGAAAGATATATGGGCAGGCGGGATGATTTAAAATTATTTCCACAGAATAAAAAAATATTGCACCTGCCAGTGTTATTAGGGAAGACACCTTTCTTTAATCTACTAGAGCAGGGGTGTCAAACTGCCGACCCGTGGGCCGGTTGCATCATACAGAGGCCACGCCCATCCCAGCTCTGGCAATGCGAAAAAAGTTGGGATACGTTGCAACACGTCATGTGACGCGGCGAGTTTGACACCTGTGTACTAGAGGATTAGGAAGCAGTAATTCAGATTGCTATGCTACATAGGCTGACTTTTGTCAGAAGGGAAGATTAATCTTTAGGATGGACAAATGACTCTTGAAGGTTGTGATTCTTTGGAGCTTGTGTTCCTTCAGCAGAGGTCTCTCCAATCAGACATCAGGATATTGTGTGATGCAGCCCCTGTCCCGTTCTTCATCTAATGTGAGCAGCTGTTGTAGTGGAGTGAGAGAGAATGAAACATCAGAGGAGGAGGAGAACGAAGCGGTCAGTGTGGGATCTTTTATTACACCCTTTCATAGAAGCAATCTTCCAGATACAGACTAAGTGACCTCTAAAACCCTTTCCCATTTTTCTTGTGCAGGAGTTAATGTGTTCTCTTGAAGGTCCCCAGAAGCAGGATGCCCTGGTTCAGAATGCATGGTTAGATGACAATGTCTGTACACCCAGTAGTACCAGCTCACCAGGTAAACACTGAAATGGGTTCATTTCTAGGACAGGTCTGCTAGGCAGAGTAGATTCCTTTTATATCGTTGGTGTTGTTACAAAACTGTAACTGGCCTATGTTGTCCCACACAGCAGTGGTAGTGAATCATCTGGATTAGAAGGAGTTTTCTGTGTTTGTGGTCCTCAAGGAGTGAAATGCAATCAAAACTCACACATAAGAAGAAAGCACAGATGTTTGGGGGAGCATAACATTTATTTAGAAAAAGACTACTCCTCCACCCACCCTAAAAACAGCACCATGAAGGACTGAAGGTCCACGGAAGGTTGATCAATTGGAAGGGGAGGCATAATGAATAAAGTTCTATACCTGATGATTATGTTTTCTATATAGGCTTCCCTTTCAGAGTAAATGGCAGATGAGAAAATGGAAGAAATGCACAGCATTAACCCCCCCCCCCAATCTAAGTTCTGATATCCTCCTCCTTTTTCAAAACAGAGAAACAACACACATTTATGACAGGATTTGTCTATTGCTCATTTGGCCTAAAGAATGTTCTGTAACAGCAAGCATTGTAAATTACTAATGCATTATTAGAAATATGTACAATGGTACCTCGGTACTCACCATTAATTAGTACCAAAAATGATGAGTATCAAATGAATGTTTCCCATAAGGAATAATCTAGTGAGTCACAAGACAGCCGACACCAACAAGTTCTAGCTTGTGTGTTGAGTACCAAACAAATGATGAGTACCGGGACAAAATTTGTGTGTCAAAATGCGTTGAGTATCAAATTTGATGAGTTACAAAGCTACCAAAGTACCACTGTAATTGAAGTATTACAATTTCTTTTTTTTCTTTTTTTTCAATATAAAATTTTTATTATTTTCCAAAAAAAACCCAACATCACAAGTATTACACAATATTATATTATATCCCACCCCCCCGGACTTCCCAAACCAAGTCCCAGGCTAATATTCAAATATAGGTAAACAAATATTAATATCTCTAACTCCACAAACTCTATTTATAAACAATCCATCTCCTCCACATTAATAAAAAAATTATACATTTAAGTAATTCAAATACACCAAAGTCTA